CAGGGAACCCCCGGCCCGCCCCCCCCCTCCCCCCCCCCCCCCCCCCGCTGCTCCCGACACGCAGCCAGCTCCGGGGCCCTGCTCACCGGGACGAAGCTCTCCTTACGCAGGCGGACAATGTCCCCAACGCAGATGTCGCGCCATTTCTGCCAGCGGAAGCTGCAGGAGAATTAGGAGGGAATTTTTTATCCTTGCAGAGCAGTGGGAATGGGAGCCGCGGCTGTTTCTGTCCTCTGGACCAGCCTGCATGGTCCCAGCTCCTTGCATGAATGGGGTCTCCAGATTGTAGGTTCCTCTGCCACCATGGTACCATCTGCATGACCGAAGGATGGCTGAGCACCGAGGATGGCACAGGACCCATTTGTCACATCCGTATCCCCTGTACCTACAGGTGGCAGGGACTTTCAGCCCCCTGGCCACAGGTGGAAAATGTTGGTCCCACCTGGACCAGTGTTTAGCAGGAATATGACTCCGTGAGTTAGATATGAAGACTTGGAGGAACTTCTGTGGCCAGGAAGCCCTCCTCCCAGCATGTCACAGCAAATTAGGGCTTTTTTAGACCTGTTGTGTGTGACTGGGATACAATCATTCCTACAGCGGAACAGCTGGACCAGCAGCAGATTTCGGGAGGTGATGGGAGTTTGCAGAGTCAGGGATGTTCCCACCAAACCCCTTCTCAGCTGCTGTGCCCAAGGATGCTCAGCACTTCAGATGATCCATCATTCCACACAGGCCTGGAAAACATGGGTACAGCTTCCCAAAGGCCCTCACCTCTTCCCAGACAGGATTTCACATGGTCTGCTGTTGATGTTTCTGTCACTTTGATGACGGCCCTGCACAGAGGAGAGAAAAAAAGAGGCCAAAAGAAAGGGATGGGCCATGCCAGACTTCCTTGTCCCATGAAAACAACCCTCTTAATGCCACAACCTGCCTCCTTAGCCCCAGGGCAAGATCTGCTTTCTGAAGCAGGCAGAAGATGTATTCTGATGAATAAAGAGGCAAAATTCCCCCAAGGTATTTCTGGGGACCAACCTGGGAATACAGCCATTGGTTAAGATATTAATGATGACAGAGATGGAGGTCTAGACCTCGAGGAAAGCAACCAGCCAGTCACATCCTTCCCAAGGGAAAATACAAAGCGTTTTGGACATGGTAGAGTTGACGGTACCTCAGGAGCCACAAATGACAGCAACTCCCAAGCTTTTCAGTTCACCCCACAGCAAAGGGTCCCTTTCTGCTGACCATCCCCCATCGGATCTACGCCCAACACTCACAGCCCTTTGCTCCAACCCATACTCACAATGTCATCGATCAGGTCTCGTAGACCCCGGATGGTGAGAAGGCAGCTCAGGGGGAACAGCAGAGTGTACCAGGGCAGCGTGGCAATCTCAGGGAAGGTCTAGAGGAGGAGAGTTTTACACCACTGACAACTTTCATCCCACCTTGGGACACTTTAGGTGACTGAGTAACTCCCCAGCTCCCCTCCCCAGCCAGCACCTGAGGATGGCAGGAACCTGTCTCAGACAAATCAAATCAACATCTCTGTTGACATGGAACTGTTTTGTTCAATTCCCACCTCTTTCTAAACTGGATGTGTGAGATGCCTGTGGGTCACTGAATTTGGAGGGTAGGATTTCTATTTAGGCATGGTCTACATGAGCTTAGCTTACATGCAAATCCAATCAGTTTAAAGTAACCAAACTTAGCATAAGTTAAACCCATCAGAATTCATGGAAGACAATGAACACTGCTGAAAAGCAGCATCCTTGACACCGTTTTAGACTGGAGTCCCCTACTCTAAAGACCAGACAACCCTCCTTTGCCTGGTTGTCTTGCACACACTTGCTCTTACCTTGGTGTCCATCTCACCTGTAAGAGGATGACAAAGACGAAGTAGACGTTGGCCATTCGGTGGAACTGCTCGTAGAGGTTCAGCGGCAGGAAGGTAAAGATGTTGTACTTGGCTGTCTTAATGGCATTGCCCTGCAGAAGAAACACAGGTCAAAGGCACAGTGGGAGTTCAGCCGCATGAAATCAAGGATGTGTTTTGAAAATGCCAAAAACAGTCTGGTATTTTTAGGACTTCTCGGCTTTTTATGGCATAGGAGATGCCTTTAAAAATTTACAAAAGCCATAAGGAAAAAGAAGCTTTATTAGAGCAAAGGGCCATATGACTTAAAATTGAAACAAAATATTTTGTTTCTGATCATCTAAAGCATATCTAACCGATCCCCAACAAGACAGTCATTATTCAGCTGGAAAAAAAAAATCTGGTTTTGTTCAATCAAAACTTCTTCCAAAAAAATCTTTCTTTTGAGTTGACCATCAGATGAAAAAGTATCCTTCATACAGTTCTGCTCCTTGCCTGGCAGCCTCAGAGGGCATCTGGGGCACCAGGCAGGGAGCAGCCCCTTTCTCTTCGTTGAGGGTTGTGTATGTGACTCTCCATCCTACTGGACGTCTCTCTGCAGCATCTCTGTCGTGTCACCCCCAACCACCACCAGCTCAGGAGTCAGGGGCTGAGTAAAGAAATGGCCCAGGACTGGCCCAGGCTGACTCACCGCATACTTCTTCTTGGTCAGACAGAAGGCAAATTTCTTCTTGAACTGCATGTGGTAGTTTCGGTCGTTGGCCCTCACCTCCCAGGTGAAAGCTGGAAAAGCAAGTGGGTATCCACCAGCTCTCACCAGAGCCAGGCCTTGGCCGTCAGCCTCTGGCCTCCAAGGACACAAGGACCAGTGATGGTGCCACTGGGCTCATGGTGACCCACTGCTGGCAAGATGGGCTTTCCATAGTGCACCTACAGCTTGAGAGCAGCCGGAGGTACAACTGGGACAGAGCTGGATCTTTGGGGTCAGCTGGGTCCCGGAGTGGACAGAGCGGGCAGGAGGCCAGAAGCTTCCAGAGATGTAGGACTGCTGCACACACTGAGCCTCAGGATAACCATTTGAGCTCAGGTTTTGGTTTAACAGTATGATCAGCCCAGGTGAAGGATGACTCCTCCAAGCACAGTCTTTGCTATTCTGAAGGCTGGTGGTTCCTCTCCTAATTTCATTTTTGCTGTTCCAGTGCAGAATACCACCGAGCAAGACATATCCTAGCCATGTTCCCCAACTCCTGTACCCCAGCTGACGGTCAATCCTTCCAGACCATTTCACCCCAGATCTGCTTCTTCCCCATCTCACAACCCTGTCCCACATTCAACTTTCTCATAAACTGTCTAAAAAAAGGAAAAAAAAAACCAAAACACACTCATGGCACACTGACCTGGCAGCTGCTTCTTTCCATGCAGGCAGTCTGAGGCTGGGTCTTGCACAGCCATGTTGGCACCACTACCAGGATCTAGGAACGAGGACAACCAAAGATATTTGCAACGCTGAGCAATGACAGCGTGATCCCACCGGGATGCTCCAGCATCCCAAAGCTGGGCCCTCCACCTCTCCAGGGCAGGAACGCCTGCAGAAGGGACACTCTTCTGGGCACAGCTGGGAATGTCTTTCCTGAAGCCACAAACTCACTTAGACCTTTTTACCACCCCGGAGATGTAAAACCCCACATTGACACGCAGTCTTCCGTAGCCATCTGAATGTCACAGATCAGTGACATCAGGCTGAATATTTGTCATCAGAAAATGTCTTTCTCCCTTTGATGCCTGACGTTCTTTGTCCTGCCTTTTGCAGGACCAGCCACAGCTCAGATCTGAATTGAAATCCACTTCCCTGGCATTTTTTTCCCCAACTGTCACAGATTTGCCCTTCACGGGTGCCTCACACTTACTCAAACCTTGCGCGGGCATTGGCGCTGGGGGCTGCCTGGATGGACCCCTGCCTTCTCAGTGTCCTCAGGGATGCTCAACAGCTTTGGTGTGGGTCATCTTTCAGACCCACCTCCACCCAGTCCCAGCTGCTCATGACAACTCAAAGACATTTTTCCTCTCTGAGGAAGTTATGGGAAATCATTCGAAGTCATCAGCGAGGAAGAGAAACTCTCCCTGTCCTGCCATCACTCCCGAGCATCCGTCATGCCTAGAGAGCAGCTACCTTCATCAATGACAAGATTTTCCTTACGCTCAGTAGCTCAGTGACCTTCCCTGCAGGGATGTTAGGGAAGATTAATTAATGTTTGTGAAGTGCTTTGTGATGCTTACATGAAAGGAGTCAGTGAGGTATAAAGCATTAATTACCATATTATTAAATAATCCCGCACAGAAGTCTGTCCCTGCCATTATTTCTTATCTCAATCCTTTGATCACTTCTTTTTTTTCCATTTTTTCACCAAAGTGTCTACTTCTCTCCCTATTGCTCCTCATGGTACAAGGCAAATCTGATATTGGTTTGTCCCAACACACGACGCTGCCCTGAGACGCTCTCGGATGCCACCAGCTGGGCCAGAGCTGTCACCCCATCCCAGGTCAAAGAGACTCGGAACAGCAACACGGGCAGCACCTCAGCCCCTGCCTCCAAGAGCTTGCCCAAAAAAAGCTTTGACCCGCAACATCATCCTCCTTTACTGCTAAGGGCTTGACATTTGTTACTGTACTTGGATCCTAAATGACACCCATGAACTTAGCACGTTTGGGACCCATCTGTGTTTTCACAGCACGGCTGAGAAGGAAGGGAGGGTTGCAGGGAGCTGCTGTGGGTGGTGGGACACTCGTGCTACATCCCACAGCTCCAACTACCATTTGTTCTACAGATAAAAGGGAGCGGGAAGAGCAGGGATACCGGGAAGGACAAGATTTTTTCCACACCCAGCTGCACAGAAGCCCCTTGGTGCCTAGACTGGCTGTTCCCACTTTGTTTGGGCAAAATAAGGTGGCAAAGGATTTGGCACAGAGAAATGCAAATCTCCCATCTTCCTCCCTGCTGTGATCCCGCTCATGTCCTTGGCCCAGTGAAGCTGTCGGCTTGGGACATCTTTCCCTGCAGACAGCCAATTCTGGGCTGCATCTGGTTGCAGAGAGACAAGGGGGGGACACCAAGCTGCCCTCCATCTCCTGCTCCTCTGCCTAACAGAGGGGCAGGCTCCCCCTGACCGCGCAGGGGTACCTCCTCCTCGTGGACCATAAATGGGCCAAGGGATATGGACTAAATGGAGGTACCCGCACCGCAGGGAACATCCAACAGGAGAGAAGATGAACCTCAGGGTATCCAGAATGGGGAAAACCGAGCCACCTGCTCACATCCCTCTAAACCAGCCAGTGCCCCTTGGCTCGTACTGGTGGAGGTAACCGTCCCTGCCGTGACTCCAACACTGGGCCAGGGCACAACAAGGTCCTCACCAGCCCATCCATCCTGCAGCCCCCAACCATGGGCAAGCAGGGCAGAGCCAGTGGTGGGACCATGGTCAACCCCAAGCCCAGATCTCCAGTCAAGCTTGTGATGATGCAGTAGGTCCAGATTCAAGTTGGGAAGTCAACACGCAGGTCAAGATCAGGTCTGGTGACAAAGGCCAAGGTGAGACATAGCCCAGGGGTTGCTGGGCAGGTCCATCAGGACAAGACAGCTCCAAGGCCAAGCCAGAAAGTCAGTCCACGGGTAGAGGGCTGGGTCCATGGCCAGGCACAGGCATATGGCCAAGCTGGAGACAGACCCATCCACAATAAAACTTAGGCTAGGACTGAGCCCCAGGGCTGAGCTTAAATAGAGCCCCGTGCCCATGGGCAGGTGTGGGAGAGGTCCCAGGTGAGGCTGTTCGGGGTCATTAATGCCTGTTAGTGTCCTCGGGGCCCCGACCCATTGCTCAAAGCATCTTCTGACCTTGCTCCTTGCTCCAGGACGTTAATATTAAAGCTGAGGCCAAGTGATGCGTGCCAAGGTGTTGGCTTGAGCTCACTGCTTCCAAACCAGCGAACGGTGCGATCACTTTAATCAAAGGGTCTAAACCTGCCCTGAGTCTCCCCGAGATGCACTGGAGGACCTTCGTTTTGTCTGTGGTCATCCTTTCAGAAGGTCCCTCTCATGCTCAGGATCTGGCCTGAAGTTGGATATCCATCATGTCCCCGCTGCGCTTGGCATCTCTGAGCCCCATCGTACCCGGTAGCGATCGCCATTGCCCCCTCCACGCGCCGCTCCTCCGCTCCAAAGCACCCCTGCTCCGGGCGATGCCAGACAGAAGTACAGCTAATTAAGCACCTGCAGTTGGCAGATGCAGGACCCTCCATGGAGCTGAGCGCCGTGCAAAGGCAGCTGGGAAAACAGCCCCTTGCCAGAGCCCAGGAGCAGGGGGGAAAGGGAAAAAAAGGGAAAAAAGAAAAGAGTTATTCAAAGCACTGGAGAAATGCTTCCAAGGAGATATCCAAGAAACCTCGGTTCCAAGAAACCTCTCTACAAACCTCACTCATCGCTTCAATAATTAGAAATAAAAATTGCACTTGGGGTAGGTGGGAACAGGCTGGAAGCGGGTGCCAGGGTGCCCTGCCAGCCCCAGCTGCGCGGGCTGGTGGCCAAACCCCGCACCAGCCCCAGCCCAGCCCTTCCCAGGGCCAGAAAGGGCCAGCGATGGCCAAAGGCACGAGACATCCTCTGGCCACTGCCCCACACCTCGTCTAGACCAGCAGTGATTTATTAACCTACAGGATGTTCCTCCAACTCAATGCCCGGGATGAACCAGCCGGTCCACCCGGCCCGGCAGAGAACGTCCCGTCCCGCTGGTCCCTGCGGTCTCCAGCTGTGAAGCAGCGACGCGGTGCTGCTGGGTGCTAACAAGACCCAAAGCCTTGGGTTTTCTCACCCAACTTAGGGCTTTCTCACCCAAAACCCCATAGTTTTAGGCTAGCGGAGATTTGCATGGCTGACCACAAATAAACCAGTTTTAAGCAGGGACGGGCACCGTGCCCCAAGGGTTTGGCCTGGGTTGGTGAAACACGCGGAGATTTATGTTGCTCGCTAATCCAGCTCGCTGCTATGGGGTTTCTGTGACAGTTTTGTTTCCGAAATCACCGGATAAATGTTGAGTTGTTGCTCAGTACAGGAATTAGTGAGAGATGTGTTGGGCTCCCTGGGAGCGCCCAGCAGACCCAGCACAGCCAGTGCTCACGGCCGGGGGTTTCTGGTCGCCCTTCTGTCCCCCCTGTTCCCTCCCAGACAAAAAAAAAAAGGGGCGACGGGACCAGCCGGACCCCCCCATCCCCTGCCTGAGGCTGCTCCCTTACCCAGCCTTGAGAGTGCTGCTGTTGTTTACCTGATCGCAGCATCCCCGTGGGACCCCAGCCGGTGCCCTGCCACCCCGGGCACCCCCGCTGCCAAACCCCGGTTGCCGCAGCTTCAGCACCACCCCAGCCAGGCTCGGCCCCGTTGCGACAGCCCTCGGTGACACCGGCCCGAGGATGGGCGACGAGCAGCTGGGTGGGTGCGTTCAGCAGCAGCCGGCTCACGCCTCCTCCTGCCCTCGTCACAGCGGAAACGCCCCCGCGCTCCAGCCGGGTGGATCACGGCTCATCAAAGCCTCTCGGGGTTTTTTCCCCAGCTCTGAGGACATGCCCGGGCCATGAGTTTCCCTCTGCTTGCCCCATTTTTTTTTCCCCACCTGTTTTGATGAGACTCCAGGTGAAAAGGCAGCTCCCCCATCCCGAAACGCTCCTCCGTGCCCAGCATCCAACCGCAGCACTGTTAGAGGGGGGCTGCTCTGGGCTCCCCCCTTCTCCCCAGGGAGAGATGCAGCCTCGGGTCCCATCAGCACCCCTAGGTCCCAAAGCGAGGAGGAGGATGGCAGCTCTTGGGACCTGCTGCCCTGAGGGGGGTCCCCGTACCTGCACTGATCCTGCCCGCAGCCCTGCCGATAGCCCTGGGCAGCCACTGAGCTCCTGCCACCACAGCGCCGAGCGGGACTGCTGCCACCTGTCCTGCCCCACGCAGGGACCGTGGGGACAGCCCATGCCACACCTCCGGCCCTGGCCTCCGCAGGGACCTGCCTGCCCTGCCTGCCTCCCATCCTGGCTGCCTGCCTCTCCCTGCCTGCTGCCGGGGCACCCTCGCTGGGCACCCCCCGGGGCTGGCAGCCGGACACGGCTCAAAACCTGCCCTGATTTATCGTCTCGGTGCAGCTTGGTTCAAAACAACCCGGAGCTGCTGCGGCAGGAGCTGTTCCCGTGGGATCTGCCAGGGGACAGGGACACGGTGTCAAGGCCAGGGCGTCCCTGCCACCGTCCCAGCAGAGAGGCAGGTGGTCCCAGACTGGGTCCCAGGGCAGCGGGTGGGCACGAGCATCTCTGGGGCAGCGTTCAGGCAGAGAGCAGGCAGGTTTGGGCAGCAGGGGCACTGGGCTGCACTGGGGCTGAGCTAGTTTCACTGGGGAGCGCTCAGTCCCCCCCAGAGCCCCCGG